CAACCGTGGGAATCTGGGAAACAACCACAGGAATCTGGGAAACAGCTGTAGGAATGTGGGAAAGAACAGCGGGAATGACAACAGTGGGAACAACAGCAGGAATCTGGGAACAACAGCGGGAATGACAACAGTGGGAACAACAGCGGGAATCTGGAAACAACGGGAATGGGAGCAGGAATAACAACGGGAATAACCCTGGGAATAACAATGGGAATGACCCCGGGAACCTCAGGAATGGTGATTGGGAATCCTGGAATCGGGATTTGTTTTGATTGGGAACCCCGATTCCCAGGGGGTTTTTTGGGAATTCCGGTTTTGCCGGGAGCCGTCGCTGCCGGCGGATCGGAGCAGCCCCAAATCCCGCCCTCATTCCCGGGAACATCAGGAAAAATGGGAATAACGGGATTGGAAATAGCGGGAATAACGGGAACGAAGGGATCGGGAATAACGGGAATAGCGGGAATATCGAGGAAATGCCTGCTGGGAAGGACGTAATTCCCGTTTTTCCCGGTTTTCCCTGGAATTCCAGCAGCGCACAGCCGGTCACAGCACCCCCAATTCCCGGCCCCATTCCCGTTTTTTATCCATTTTCCCTGTTTTTCCCTGGAATTCCAGGTGCACAACACCTCTGACTCCCTCTCTGATTCCCGCTCTAATTCCCGGCATTCCTGCTGTTATTCCCATTTTTCCAGGTGTGCTGGCTGACGGTGGATCAGCACACCGAGATTCCCAGTCCCATTCCCGCTGTCATTCCCGGTGTTTTTCCCGGTGCGCTCGCTGCTGCTGGATCAGAACAGTCGCAGTTCCCGCTGTAATTCCCATTTTTCCCGACTGTCATTCCCGCTGTTTTAATTCCAGGTGCGCTCGGTGACGGTGGAGCGGCAGGCTGTGATTCCTGGTGTAATTCCCATTGTTTTTCCAGGTGTTCCCATTCCCAGGTGTGCTCAGTGACAGTGGATCAGCACACCGTGATTCCAGCTGTAATTCCCGTTGTTTTTCCTGTTGTTATTCCCATTGTAATTCCAGGTGCACTCGGTGACGGTGGATCAACACACCGCGACTCCGGCTGTAATTCCCGGTGTTGTTCCCATTGTTGTAATTCCAGGTGCGCTCGGTGACGGTGGATCAGCACACCGTGATTCCGGCTGTAATTCCCGGTGTTTTTCCAGGTGTTTTTCCCGGTGTTGTTCTAGGTGTGCTCGGTGACGGTGGAGCGGCAGGCCGTGACTCCAGCTGTAAATCCCGGTGTTTTTCCTGTTGTTATTCCCATTGTAATTCCAGGTGCACTCGGTGACGGTGGATCAGCACACCATAATTCCAGCTGTAATTCCCGGTGTTGTTCCCAGTGTTGTAATTCCAGGTGCACTCGGTGACGGTGGATCAACACACCGCGACTCCGGCTGTAATTCCCGGTGTTGTTCCCATTGTTGTAATCCAGGTGCGCTCGGTGACGGTGGAGCGGCAGGCTGTGATTCCTGGTGTAATTCCCATTGTTTTTCCCATTGTTTTTCCCGGTGTTTTTCCAGGTGCGCTTGGTGACGGTGGATCAGCACACTGTGATTCCGGCTGTAATTCCCATTGTTTTTCCAGTTGTTCCCATTCCCAGGTGCACTCGCTGACGGTGGAGCAGCAGGCTGTGATTCCCGCTCTCATTCCCATTTTTCCAGGTGTTTTTCCCGGTGTTTTTCCAGGTGTGCTCGGTGATGGTGGATCAGCACACCGTGATTCCGGCTGTAATTCCCGTTGTTTTTCCCGGTGTTGTAATTCCAGGTGCGCTTGGTGATGGTGGATCGGCACACCGTAATTCCGGCTGTAATTCCCAATGTTTTTCCGGGTGTTGTTCCAGGTGCACTCGGTGACGGTGGGTCAACACACCGCGACTCCGGCTGTAATTCCCGGTGTTGTTCCCATTGTTGTAATTCCAGGTGCACTCGGTGACGGTGGAGCGGTGGCCATGATTCCGGCTGTAATTCCCGGTGTTTTTCCGGGTGTTTTTCCCGGTGTTGTAATTCCAGGTGCGCTCGGTGACGGTGGATCAGCACACCGCGACTCCGGCTGTAATTCCCGGTGTTGTTCCCGGTGTTGTTCCAGGTGCGCTCGGTGACGGTGGAGCGGCGGCCGTCGGAGCAGCTGCGGCGCCTGGAGCGGACGCGCGTGGAGCGATTCCCGGACCTGGCGGCCGAGCGGGAATGTCGGGATCGGGAGGAGCGCGGGCGGCGCCGGCAGCAGCTGCAGGAGCTGCGGCGGGAACAGCGCGAGGAACAGCGCCGGAAACGGGAGATGGACGAGCTCAGGTGGGAACGGCCGGAACGGAACGCGGGAACTCCGGGAATTCCGGGAATGGAAGCCAGGAACCGGAACACTGGGAACTCTGGGAATCCGCGAATGAAGCGTGGGAATTCTGGGAATTACGGGAATGGAACACGGGAATTCTGGGAATGGGATCCGGGAATGGAACCCATCAGTGAGTTCCAGGAATGGAATTCTGGGAATGAAACCCGGGAATGGAACATGGGGAATTCTGGGAATTCTGGGAATTCTGGGAATGGAACCCAGGAATGGAACACCGGGAATTCCGGGAACACTGGGAATAGAAGACTGGAATTATGGGAATGGAACACGGGAAAATTCTGGGAATGGAACATGGGAGTTCTGGGAATTACGGGAATGGAAGACAGGAATTCTGGGAATTCTGGGATTGGAACACTGGGAATTCCTGGAATTCCAGGAATGGAACACAAGAATTCTGGGAATTCTGGGAATGGAACACTGGGAATTCCAGGAATCCAGGAATGAAACATGGGAATTACGGGAATTCTGGGAATGGAACCCAGGAATAGAACCTGGGAATGGAACCCAAGAATGAATTCTGGGAATGAAACCTGGGAATGGAACACGGGAATTCTGGGAATTCTGGGAATTCTGGGAATGGAACCCGGGAAAGGAACACGGGAATGGAACCTGGGAGTGAATTCCTGGAATGGAATCCGGGAATGGAAGCCGGGAATTCTGGGTGTGGAACCCAGGAATGAAACACAGAAATTCCGGGAATGGGATCCAGGAATGGAAGCCGGGAATTCTGGGAATGGAACCTGGGAACAAAACCTGGGAATGGAATGCAGGAATGGAACCCGGGAATGAAACATGGGAATTCTGGGAACGGGATCCGGGAATGGAAGCCAGGAATGGGACCCAGGAATGAAGCACAGGAATGGAACCTGGGAATGGAATCTGGGAATGAATTCCGGGAACGCTGGGAATGAATTCTGGGAATGAAATCTGGGAATGAAATCCAGGAATTCTCAGAATGAAATCCAGGGATGTTGGGAATGGTGGCAGCAGCAGGTGCAGGAGCTGCACTGGGGATGGGAAATGGACGAGATCAGGTGGGAATTCCGGGAATTCCGGGAATGGCGGGATGGATGGAGGCTCCCGGAGGTTTTCCCAAGGGAATCCCAGGGAATGGGGGCTGGGAATGTCAGGGGAGAGAGCCTGGAATTTTCTCTGGAATTCCCTTTGGGATTGTTCTGAAAATGCTTCCAGGATTCCCTTTGGAATTCCCCCTGGAATTCCCTTTGGAGTTCCTCTGGAATTGACCCTGGAGCTCCCGCTGGAATTCCGGGATTGCCGCTGATTGCCGGGATCTGGGCTGGGAATTCATCCCGGGGGGGTCGGCGTTCCCGGGATTCCCTCGGGAGCCTCCCCCAGCTCCAGGCCCGGAAAAGCGGGATCCGGGGAAATCTGGGATTGGGATCCCAGATCCGGAATTTCTGTGGTATCCAAAATCCAGGATATCCTGGGGATTGAGATCCCCATTCCCGGAATTTCCAGAGATCCCAAATCCAGGATTTTTCAGGGATTTAGATCCCAAAATTTGGGATTTCGCAGGGATTGAGATCCCAATGCCTGATTTCCCAGAGATCCCAAATCCAGCATTCCCAGGGATTCCAATTCCCGGATTTTCCAGGGATTTGGATCCAAAATCCAGGATTTTCCAGGCATAGAATTCCAAATTCCCGATTTTCCTGAGATCCCAAATCTGGCATTCCCAGGGATTCCAATTCCTGATTTCCCAGGGATCCCAAATCCGGGATTTTCCAAGGATCCCAAAATCCAGGATTTCCCAGGGATTTGGATCCCAAAATCTGGAATTTTCCAGGGATCCAGGTCCCAATTCCCGATTTTCTGGAGGTCCCAAATCCCAGCATTCCCAGGGATCCCAAATCCAGGATTTTCCAGGGATTGAGATCTCAATTCCCAATTTCCCAGGGATCCCAATTCCCGCATTCCCAGGGATCCCAAAATCTAGGATTTTCCAGAGATCGGGATCCAAATTCCTGGATTTCCCAGAGATCTCATTCCCAGCATTCCCAGGGATCCCATTCCCAGCATTCCCAGGGATCCCAATTCCCGCATTCCCCGGGATCCCAGCATTCCCAGGGATCCCAGCATTCCCAGGGATCCCATTCCCAGCATTCCCAGGGATCCCAGCATTCCCAGGGATCCCAATTCCCGCATTCCCAGGGATCCCAGCATTCCCAGGGATCCCATTCCCAGCATTCCCAGGGATCCCATTCCCAGCATTCCCAGGGATCCCAATGCCAGCATTCCCAGGGATCCCATTCCCAGCATTCCCAGAGATCCCAGCATTCCCAGAGATCCCATTCCCAGCATTCCCAGGGATCCCATTCCCAGCATTCCCAGGGATCCCAATTCCTGCATTCCCAGGGATCCCAGCATTCCCAGGGATCCCATTCCCAGCATTCCCAGAGATCCCAGCATTCCCAGAGATCCCATTCCCAGCATTCCCAGAGATCCCATTCCCGATTTCCCAGCCGGGAGATCCCGGAGCGAACCCCGGGATGGGAATTCCGGGATATCCCAGGTGGGGGGGGTGGGGGAGGGGCCGCTCCAGCCCCGGGGAGAATTCCAGCGGGACAAATCTTTGGGAATTGTGGGCGGGGCTCGGCGTTCCCGGCGGGAATTCCCGGGAATTGCGGGCGGGAGCTGAGCGGGATCCCCCTGCAGGAGCTACGCCTCGCTGATGAAAACGGAGAACATGAGCTCCAACCAGGTACAGCCGGAGCGACAACAGCCGGAACGGGAATGGGAACAGCGGGAATTACGGGAATAACAACAGCGGGAATTACGGGAATAACAACGGAAATAACAGTGGGAATGACGGGAACAGCCGGAACGACAACAGCCGGAATGGGAATGGGAACAGCGGGAATTACAGGAATAATAACAGTGGGAATAACGGGAATTGGGATTAACAACAACAGGAATAACAGCGGGAATAACAACACTGGGAATAATGGGAACAGCAGGAATAACGGCGGGAAGCGGGAATAACAGGAACAGCGGGAATAACAGTGGGAATAACAACAATGGGAATAACAGTGGGAATAACAACAATGGGAATAACAGTGGGAATAATGGGAATAACTGGGAATAACAATGGGAATAATGGGAATAACAGTGGGAATAACAACAACAGGAATAACAACGGAAATAACAACACTGGGAATAATGGGAACAGCAGGAATAACGGCGGGAAGCAGGAATAACAGGAACAGCGGGAATAACAGTGGGAATAACAACAATGGGAATAACAGTGGGAATAACAACAATGGGAATAACAGTGGGAATAATGGGAATAACTGGGAATAACAATGGGAATAATGGGAATAACAGTGGGAATAACAACAATGGGAATAACAGTGGGAATAACAATGGGAATAATGGGAATAACAGCGGGAATAACAACAGTGGGAATAACAACAATGGGAATAACAGCGGGAATAACAGTGGGAATAATGGGAATAACAGCGGGAATAACAACAGTGGGAATAACAATGGGAACAGCGGGAATAACAGGAACAGCAGGAATAACAACAATGGGAATAGCGGGAACAGTGGGAATAACAACGGGAATGGGAGTAACAACAGCGGGAATGACAACAGCAGGAATAACGGGAACAACGGGAATAATGGTGGGAATAACAATAGGAACAACAATGGGAATAACAACAGCAGGAATAACAAGGGGAATAACGGGAAGAACAATGGGAATAGCAACAATGGGAATGACAGGAATGGGAATGGGAATAACAACAACGGGAATAAGAAGAACGGGAATAACAACAGGAATAATGGGAATGGGAACAATGGGAATAACAATGGGAATAACAGGAATGACAACAGTGGGAATAACAATGGGAACAGCAGGAATGGGAACAACGGGAATAACAACAGCACCAGGAATAATGGGAACAGTGGGAATAACAACAGCGGGAATGGGAACACCAGGACTAACAACAGGAATAACAACAATGGGAATAACAACAGCAGAAATAACAGGAACAGCGGGAATAACAGGGATGGGAATAACAACAATGGGAATAATGGGAATAACAGCGGGAATAACAACAATGGGAATAACAGTGGGAACAGGGGGAATAACAACAGCACTGGGAAGATTAACAATGGGAACAATGGGAATAACAATGGGAACAATGGGAAAAATGCTGGGAATAACAATGGGAACAATGGGAATAACAATGGGAAAAATGCTGGGAGGAAGAATGGGAATAACAATGGGAATAACAATGGGAACAACGGGAATAACAATGGGAAAAATGCTGGGAATAACAATGGGAACAATGGGAATAACAATGGGAAAAATGCTGGAAATAACAATGGGAAAAATGCTGGAAATAACAATGGGAACAATGGGAATAACAATGGGAAAAATGGGAAAAACAATGGGAAAAATGGGAATAACAATGGGAAAAATGGGAATAACAGTGGGAAAAATGGTGGGAATAACAATGGGAACAATGGGAATAACAATGGGAAAAATGAGAATAACAATGGGAAAAATGCTGGGAATAACAATGGGAAAAACGGTGGGAATAACAATGGGAACAATGGGAATAACAATGGGAAAAATGCTGGGAATAACAATGGGAACAATGGGAATAACAATGGGGAAAATGCTGGGAATAACAATGGGAATAACGGCAGGAATGACAGGAAAAATGGGATGGGAATAACAGGAATAATGGCGGGAATAACAACGAGAATAACAACAACGGGAATGGGAATAACAGGAATAACAACAGCGGGAATAATGGGAATGTGGACAATGGGAACAGGAATAACAACAGTGGGAATAACGGGAATAACAGTGGGAACAGGAATAACGGCGGGAACAGTGGGAATAACAACAGCACCGGGAAAAACAACGGGAATAACAACAGGGAAAATGGTGGGAATGACAATGGGAATAACAACAATGGGAATAACAACAATGGGAATAACAACAATGGGAATGACAACAATGGGAATAACAGCGGGAAGAACAGGAAAAATGGGATGGGAATAATGGGAATAACAGCGGGAATAATGGGAAAAATGGGAATAGCAGGATCAGGAATAACGGGAAAAACGGGATTGGGAATAATGGGAATAATGAGGATAATGGGAGAAGGAATAACAGGAATGGGATGGGAAAAGTGGGAATAACAGGAATGATGGGAATAACGGGAATGTTGGGATGGGAATGGGAATAAGGAAAATACTGGGAAGAGGATAACAGGAATGGGAATAGCGGGAATGTGATTGGGAATGGGAATGATGGGATTTGAATGGGATGGGGAATCATGGGAATATTGGGAATGGGAATAGTGGGAAAAATGGGATCAAGAATAATGGGAATAACGGGGCTGGGATTGGGAATCGTGGGAATATTGGGATTAACCGGAATAGTGGGAAAAATGGGATTGGGAATGACAGGAACAGGGGTAATGGGAATGGGAATAATGGGATTGGGGATAACGGGAATGGGATGGAATGGGGATAAATGGGATTGGGAATAATGGGAATGGGATGGAATGGGGATAAACGGGATTGGGAATAATGGGAATGATTGGAATTGGGTTGGGATTGGAATAATGGGAATGGGATTGGGAATGATGGGGCTGGGATTGGGAATAATGGGAATGGGATGGAATGGGGATAAATGGGATTGGGAATAATGGGAATGATTGGAATTGGGTTGGGATTGGAATAACGGGAATGGGATGGAACGGGGATAAATGGGATTGGGAATAATGGGAATAATGGGAATGGGATGGAATTGGGTTGGGATTGGAATAACGGGAATGGGATGGGAATGATGGGGCTGGGATTGGGAATAACGGGAATGGGATTGGGAATGATGGGGCTGGGATTGGGAATAACGGGAATGGGATTGGGAATTCCCGGAGCTCCGGGCTGGCTCCGTTCCCGGAGGGCTCCGGGATCCAGGAATCATCCCGGAAATCCCACCCCAGCGTTCCCAAATCCCGGGAATTGCCGGGAACCCCCGATCCCGCCTGGCCCATTCCCGCTTTTCCCGCAGGACGGGAACGACTCCGACGATTTCATGTGAGGATCCCGGAGCCGCGGAATTCCCGGGAAAACGAACTCCGGCTCCGGGAACGCTCCGGGAATGGGAGGGAATTCCCGGGAATTCCCGGGGGAGCCAACAAAGCCTTGGATCCGCAGCCGTTGCCTCTGGAATTCTTCCCTGCTGGGAAAACTTTGGGAATGTGGGGATGGGGGAGGGGCTCCGGGGATTCCCGGGAATTTCTCCCTTTGGAGTCGCGATGGATTCCCGGGAGGGGGCGGGAGAATCCCCGGAGAGGGAGGGGGTGGGAAAAAACGGAAAAAAATGGGGAAAAACAAGAAAAAAAATTGGGAAAAAATGGGAAAAATCAGAAAAAAATGGGAAGAAAACTGGAAGAAAACGGGAAAAAGGGAAAAATGGGAAAAAACGGGAAAATGGGGAAAAAATGGGAAAAAATATGGGAAAAAATGGAAAACACTGGGAAAAAATGGGAAAAGAATGGAAAAAACGGGGAAAAACTGGGAAAAAATGGGAAAAAATGGAAAACACTGGGGAAAAAATGGGAAAAACAGAAAAAAATGGGAAAAAAACTGGAAGAAATGGGAAAAAAATGGGGAAAAAGTGGGAAAAAAAGGGGAAAAAATGGGATAAGTTCCCTCTGGAGCCGGGATCGTGCTGGGATCAGTGGAAATCTGGGAATATCCCAGGGAAAGGGGTCGTTCCCAGCCTGGATTCCCGCGGTTCCTGAATCCCAGGGATTGGGATTGGGATCCAGGATTGGGATCTGGGAATTTTCCGGGATCCGTGGGAGGAAGAGGCGGCTCTGGAGCCCGGGATGGCTCCGATTTCCTGGGATTTGGGAAATTCCCACCGGGAATGTTGGGATCGGGAATGGGAATGGGGGAAATTCCCAGAGATCTTCCCGCGGCTCCGGCCTGGAACGGGAGCGGTTCCCAAATCCCAAAATCTGGGAATTCTGGGATCTCCTTTCCCCAAAATCCGGGAATTCTGGGATTTCCTCTCCCTCAAATCCAGGAATTCCGGGATCTCCTCTCCCCCATTCCTGAGGATCCCATCAGGACCCTCCCGGCACCTCCAAATTCCCTCCAAATCCCCCAAAATTCCCGAAAATCCCAGCGGGATGATCCCGACTCCCATCCCTGCCAGGAGTTCCCGTTCTCAGCCCCCCAAAAATTCCCAAAAATCCACAAAATTCCGCCCCAAATCCCCCCAAAATTCCCAAAAATCTCCCGAAAATTCCTCCAAAACTCTCAGTCCCCCCCAAATTCCCAAAAATCCTCTCAATCCTTCCCCAAATTCCTGGAATTTTCCCCCAATCCCTCCCAGAATTTAAAAGAGATCCCTCAAAATTCCCAAAAATCTCCCAAATTCCCAAAAAAACTCCCTCAAAATTCCCAAAAATCTCCTGAATTCCCAAAAAACCCCCTCAAAATTCCCAAAAATCTCCCGAATTCCCAAAAAACTCTCCCAATCCCCTCCAAAAATTCCCTCAAAATCCCAAAAATCCTCAAATCCTCCCCAGAATTCCCGGAATTTCCTTTTCCAGCGGCTCGGGATTTCGGGATCGGAGCCGCCCGGGGGAATCCCGGGATGAGGCTCCGGGAAGGGATCCCAAAAATCCGGGATTTGGGATCCGAGTTTGGTTTATTACCATCAGAATTCCGGCATTTGGAATTTCGGGACTCGCAGCATTCCCGGTTCCCGCCTGCTTTTCCCGCTATTTATTCCCGGTGTTTATTCCCGCCATTCCCGTTGTTTATTCCCGGTATTTTTTCCCGCCATTCCCGGTGTTTATTCCCGGGACCTTCCTTGAGCCGCGGCCCAGCCGGGACCCCCCAATTCCCGATGAATTCCCAAGAAATTCCCAAGGAATTCCTGGGATCCCGTCCCTCTGTTCTGGCCATTCCCAAACTTTCCTGGGAGACGGGAGAGCGCCGCTGCCCCCGGACAGTCCCGGAATTCCCGGGATTTCCCCCCGAATTCCCAGGATTTCCCCGAATTCCCAGGATTTCCCCCCGAATTCCCGGGATTTCCCCGAATTCCCAGGATTTCCCCCCGAATTCCCCGGATTTTCCTGAATTCCCAGGATTTCCCCCCCGCATTCCCGAGGGTCCCGATCCCGGCCCCTCCCCCTCTCCCGGCCCTTCTCTCCTGCCGGGAGCGGGAATTTGGGAATTCGGGAATTCCGAGGGTCCCAGGATGGGGCGAGGGGCGGCCGTGCCTCAGTTTCCCCTGGATTGCGGCGGCGCCAGGAAGGGGCGGGAATTCGGGAATTTGGGGGATCCACGGACGAGGGGGAGGGGCCGTGCCTCAGTTTCCCCAGGAAAGCCGCAGGAAAGAGCGGGAATTCGGGAAAATTTGGGAATTCGGGGGATCCCAGGATACGGAGAGGGGAGGGATTTGTGCCTCAGTTTCCCCCGGAACGCGGCAGCGAGGTGCGGGAATCGGGGAATTCGGGGAATTGGGGATTCGGGAATTTGGGGGATTCGGGGTCGATCCCCCCCGAGCTGGGCTGGGAATTGTCTCGGGAATTGTCTCGGGAATTGTCTCGGGAATTGTCTCGGGAATTCTTTCGGGAATTGTCTCGGNAAATCCAGGAGAGCTCCGGGAAACTCCGGGAGAGCTCCGGGAAAATCCAGGAGAGCTCCGGGAAAACTCCGGGAAAACTCCGGGAGAGCTCCGGGAGCGGCCCCGCGGATCCATCGGAGCGGGTACGGGAATCCTGGAATTCCCAAATCCCCGAATCCCCGATTCCCTCCCGGAATTCCCAAATTCCCGAATCCCCGAATCCCTCCCTGAATCCCAAATCCCCCGAATTCCCGAATCCCTCCCGGAATTCCCAAATTCCCGAATTCCCGAATCCCAAATCCCCGAATCCCCGAATCCCTCCCGGAATCCCAAATCCCCGAATCCCCGAATCCCCGAATCCCTTCCCTTGGGAATCCTCCCCTTTCCCCCCGTTTTTTCCCTTTTTTTTCCTCCTTTCCCGAGCGGCCGGGCGGGCACTGCCCCGAATTCCCGAATTCCCAAATCCCTGAATCCCCGAATTCCCGAATCCCGGAATCCCGAATCCCTTCCCTTGGGAATTCTCCCCTTTTCCCGTTTTTCCCCCTCTTTCCCCCTTTTTTTCCCCTTTTTTTTTCCTCCTTTCCCGAGCGCCGGAGCGGGCAATTCCCGGAATTCCCGAATTCCCGAATTTCCGAATCCTCAAATCCCCAATTCCCTTGGCAATCCTCCCCTTTTCCCATTTTTCCCTTTCCCCCTCCCCTTTTCCCCCTTTTTTCCCTCCTCCCTTTCCCATTTTCCCGTTTTTTCCCCCTTTCCCTCCTTCTTTTTCTCCCCTTTCCCCCTTTTTCCTTCTTTCCCCTCTTTCCTTCCCTTTTCCCTTCCCATTTTTCCCTTTCCCCCTATTTTTTCCTTTTTTTCCCTTCTCATTTCCCCATTTTCCCCCCTTTTCCCCCCAATTTTCCCACTTTTCTCCCCTTTCTTTTCCCATTTCGTTCATTTTTCCCCATTTTCCCTCCTTTCCCCCTTTTTCCCCTTCTCATTTTCCCATTTTCCCTCTTTATCCCCTTTTTTTTCCCTTTTAATTTTCCCTTTTTCCCCCCTTTTCCCCCCTTTTTTCCCCATTTTTCCCCATTTCCAGCTCTTTCTTTCCCCTCTTTTCCTTCCCCCCTTTTTCCCCTTCTCATTTCCCATTTCCCCCCTTTTTTCCCCCTTTTTCCCCCCTTTTCTCCTTTCCCCCTTTTTTCCTTTCTCATTTTCCCATTATCCCCCTTTTTCCCTTTTTTACCCAATTTCTGCCCCTCCTTTTCCCCCCATTTTCCCCCTTTTTCCCCATTTTTTCCAATTTTTTCCCCATTTTTCCCTTTTCCCCCATTAACCAAATTTTCCCCATTTTTTCCCCCTTTTTCCCCTTCTCATTTCCCCATTTTCCCCCTTTTTTTCCTTTTTTTCCCCCATTTCCACCCCTTCTTTTCTCCCTTTTTCCCTTTTTTCCCAATTTTCCCCCTTTCCCCCCTTTTTTCCTTCTCATTTCCCCATTTCCACCCCTTTTTCCCCTTTTTTCCCCATTTTCCCCCATTTCCAGCTCTTTCTTTCCCCCCTTTTCCTTCCCCCTTTTCCCCTTTCTAATTTCCCATTTCCCCCCCTTTTTTCCCCATTTTTCCCCTCTTTTTCCCCATTTTTCTCCCCTTTCCACCCATTTTCCCCTCTTTTCTCCTTTCCCCCTTTTTTCCCCTTCTCATTTTCCCATTATCCCCTTTTTTCCCTTTTTTTCCCCCCATTTCCACCCCTTTTTTTCCCATTTTCCCTTTTTTTTCCTGGTTTTTTTCCCATTTTTTCCCCCTTTATTCCCGTTTTTTTCCCATTTTCCCCCGTTTTTTCCCTTTTCCCCATTTTCCCATTTTTTCCCCCTTTTCCTCCCTTTTTTCCCTTCTCATTTCCCCATTTCCACCCCTTTTTTTCCCCTTTTTCCCCCTTTTTCCCCCTTTTTTCCCCCCCTTTTTTTCTCCCCTTTTTTTCCCTTTTCCCCCCATTTTTCCCGTTTTTTCCCCCATTTCCCCCTCCCCCCTCCCGCCGGTTTTTGGGGAATCCCCAAATTCCGCGCCGGGAATTGGGGGATTTGGGATTCGGGAATTCGGGATTTGGGATCAGAAATTCGGGAATTTGGGGACTTGGGATCAGGAATTTGGGATCGAGGATTTGGGATCTGGGATCAGGAATTCGGGAATTTGGGGATTTGGGATCGGGGATTTGGGATCGGGGGGGTTCTTCGGGATTTGGGGGAGTTATTTGGGATTTGGGAGGGTTTTTATGGGATTTTGGGGTTTATTTGGGATGCGGGATGGGGATATTTGGGATTTGGGATTTTTTTGGGGGATTTGGAGGGGTCTGGGATGTTTTTTTGGGGCTGGGGATTTTTGGGATTTGTGCTGGGGATTTTTGGGATGGCGTTTTTTGGGATGGGTTTATTTGGGAATTGGGGGATTTTTGGGCTGGGGATTTTGGGGTTTTGAGGATTTTGGGGATTTTGGGGCTGGGTTTATTTGGGAATTGGGGATTTTTGGGCTGGGGATTTTTGGGATTTTTGGGATTTTGGGGCTTTTTGGGCTGGGTTTATTTGGGAATTGGGGATTTTGGGGATTTTTGG